GCAGTACCTTTCGCAGCTGCTGCTGTGCAGCAGCAGCAGTAACACCTTTTGCAGCTAGTGCGCTGCAGCAGCAGCCGTGCAAGTTTCTATCGCTGCTATTGTGCTGCCGCCGCAGCAGCAACAGCCGTGTTAATCTCTGCTGTTGTGCAGCAGCTGCAGCTGCAGCAGCAGTAGCCGTAGCAGCAGCAGCAGCAGCAGCAGCAGCAGCAGCTGGCTTTTTGTGCTCGCAGCGCATAGCTGCGCGGCTGCGCCAGCGCAGGGGGGCTGCAGAAGTTGGCGAAGAATTTGCTTTAAAGAGTTAAAGAGGATTCTGCTGCTGCATGCGCGAGGCTGCACATTTGCTGCTTAGGCTTACTGGCTTCGCCGCAGGAAGCAGCGCAGCAGCACAGCAGCGCAGCAGCACAGCAGCGCAGCAGCACAGCAGCGCAGCAGCACAGCAGCGCAGCAAGAGCCCAGTGGCTCTGGGGGGCGACTACAGCCTCGCGAGGCTTCCCCGGGGTTTTTGAGGGGATAAAAAAGGCTTTCGAAGTGAATTTCAGTGAGGTGAAGGCCATTTGCTGCAGCAGCAGCAGCAGCAGAGCAGCAGCAGCAGCTGCGCGGCAGCGAGGCCCGTGGCTGGCTGGCGAGGGCCTCGCTGGGGAGGCTGGAGCCGCAAAAAGTATTTATTCTCTTTTAAATGAAATAAAAGAAAAGTGAGAGTTTTCAAAAGCGTAGAGAGGCCTGCTGCGTCGGGGCGGGTCCAGCCAGAGCCGCAGAGGCGCGGCGGGCAAGAAGCAGCGCCACCCGCTGCGAGGGTTGGCTGCGGTGTCTTTCGCCGGCTGAATTCGCCTTTTTAGGGTTTATTTCTGCTGCAATTTCCGGAAAAAAGAATAGAAAAGCTTCTTTCTCGTTGGCATCGAACGGCGCCCCGCGTGGTGTTTGCAGCAGAAGCAGAAAGACTGATGCTGCCGCCGCACCCTGGCCCCTCTCCCGGCTCACCGCAGGCCCCTCATCTGCAGCCAGTGTTCCTTCAAAGCTTCTTCTGAGCTCCTGAAAAGTCCTTTTTCAGGGTTATTTGAACTTGGAAGGCAACGAAAGAGAAGAGCAGCAGCAGTTGCTGCGCCCGGCAGAGCCGCTGCCGCCGCCCGCTGCTGCAGGCGCCGCGCAGCGTCAGCAGCAGCTCACCGCCGCCGCCGCAGCTTCTTTGCCACTCAAAGGCCATTTCTAAGCTATTTTGCAGCTTTTCGTTTGCCTATGGGCTTCGTGGGGGCGCTTCTGCCCCCCACAGCTGCAGCACCTCCTTGGTTCGCCCGGGGCGGCCGTGCACCCCTCCGCGCCGCCCGATCTTCGCCTTTTCTCCCTGCCTTTCCCTAATTTTTCTCTTTTTCTCTTTTTGTTTTCTTTAAAAACGCCAATTTGCGCTTTTCCAGGCTCGACGGCGCCCCGAGGAGCCCTGGGAGCTGCTGCGCGCTGCGCGCTGCGCCGCCGCCGGGTCACCTTCGCCTGCTGCGGCCCGCGCAGCAGCTGCTGCAGCTGCTGCTGCAGCTGCTGCTGCTGAACGTTGAAAGAGGGGCGCCAGCCTCAAGGAGCCGCAGCGGATGGCTCCTTGCTTCGCGCAGCAGTGGGGCGGCCCCTGCCTTTCACTGCTGCTTCTGCTGCAGCTGCTGCTGCTGCTGCTGCTGCGCGCGCCCCGAGAACTTGAATGCGTTTTCTAGACAAGACAGACAACAGGGCCCTTCCCGCCGTCCCCCCAAAGCCCCCAAAGCCGCCTGGGGCCCCCGCGCCTCAGCCGTTTGAACCTGCTGCTGCTGCTGCTGCTGCTGCTGCAGCTGCAGCCGAAGCCCCGCCTGCTGCAGCAGCAGCAGCAGCAGCCGCAGCTTTCCTGCGGGGCTCTCTCGCCAGCCTGACAAAGCCCAGCGCGTCGGGCGAGAACAGCGGCGACCAACTGGCTGCTGCTGGGGCTCGCGCAGCAGCAGAGGCCGCTGCAGCAGCAGAAGCTGCTGCGGCTGCAGAAGCTGCTGCAGGCGCAGCTGCTGCGGCCGCAGCAGCTGCTGCAGCAGCAGCTGCTGCAGCAGCAGCTCTCCCCCCCTTGGTCCCGCCCGCGCCTTCCCCGCCGCGCCTCCTCCGGCGCATTAGTTTGCTTTCTTGAGAAGAAAGGACTTGTGCGCGTTGGCCTGCCTCTAGTACCTTCTCTGCTGCTGCTGCTGCTGCAGCTGCTGCAGCTGCTGCAGCTGCTGCTGCGCCGTTTCCAGCCGCAGGGCTGCTGCTGCAGCGACTCCCGGCTCCCGCCGCCCGGCAGGCTTGGCGGGGGCGTTTGTCTGTCTTTCCGTCGCAGCAGCAGCCGCAGCAGCAGCCGCAGCAGCAGCAGCAGCAGCAGCAGCAGCAGCAGCAGCAGCAGCAGCTGTGCGTCTTTCGTGTGCACAAAGCTGCAGCGGAGGACTGTAATGCCCCTGAAGCCCTCAGGACCCCCCGAGGCCTCAAGATGCTCGAGGCCCTTCTGTCTTGTTTTGTTTCGTTTTAGCATTTGAAATGAACATATACATTTCGGCCCCCGCGGGCGAGGCTGCTGCAGAGCCTGGGGGCGCTCCCGCAGCAGCAGCAGCAGCAGCAGCAGCAGCAGCAGCAGCAGCAGCAAGCGCCGCTGCCGCTGCTGCGCCCTCCAGGCGGCTCACGCTGCCGATCCCGAAGCGGCGAAGCCCCCCGCGCTGCGCGGAGGGGCAGCAGAGGCTGCTGCAGAGCCTGGGGGCGCTCCCGCAGCAGCAGCAGCAGAAGCAGCAGCAGCAGCAGCAGCAGCAGCAGCTGGGGCGCGTGGGGGCGGGGAAGGGCTGCTGCTCCGTGTGCGTCTTCTCGCCGTGTCACTCCTCAGACGCTTCGACAGCGGACGAGCTGGAGGAGGCGCCGCTGGCTTCTCCGGGGGCGCCGCCGCGCTGCTGCTGCAGCAGCAGCAGCAGCAGCAGCAGGAGCAGCAGGAGCAGCAGCAGCTGGCAGCGGCTGCAGCTGGGGTCTCCGCCGTGCTTGTTCGCGCTGGGGGAAGTGATCGGAACTGGCTCGCAGAGCTTCGTGTACCGCTGCGAGCTGCAGCAGCCGCTGCGCTGCGGCCCCGCTGCTGCTGCTGCTGCTGCTGCAGCAGCAGCAGCAGCAGCAGCAGGCCCGCTGTGCGTGAAGCACATCGTTGGAGACGCCCCGCGAGAAGCTCTCAAGGCTGCTTGCTGCCTCCAACACCCCAACGTCGCGCAGCACTTGGCAGTCTTTGAAGACTGGCGAGGGTTTTGGGTTTTGATGGAAGAAGTGCGGGGCCCGGACCTTGCGGTGTACGTACACCGCAGCGCCCGCGGCCGCCTCGGCCAGGCAGCAGCAAAGCACGTCTTCCGCCAGCTCGTTGCTGCGCTGCACTGCGTCCACTCCCACGGCCTCGCGCACCACGACGTCAAGCTCGAGAACATCGTCGTGCGCCAGCAGCAGCAGCAGCAGCAGCAGCAGCAGCAGCAGCAGCAGCAGCAGCAGCAGCGGCCGCGGCAGCAGCGCCCGCAGGAGCGCAGGCCGCGCCCCGCGCCCGACGCTGCGGAACCACTCGCGCACCGAGACGCGCTCCAACGCAAGAACCCCAACTGCAGCAGCAGCAGCAGCAGCAGCAGCAGCAGCAGCAGCAGCAGCAGCAGCAGCAGCGAAGGAAGTGGAGAAGGCAGCGAAGCCACAGGCAGCAGCAAAGACTGCGCACAACCAGCCGAAAATTCCCTGGTTGAAATTGCCCTTGTCGATTTTGGCTCTGCGGAGCTTGTGGGGCCCCAGTCCCGCTGCAGCAGCAGCAGCAGCAGCAGCACCAGCAGCAGCCGAAGCAGCAGCAGCAAACCCGAAGCCTCGCCCGCAGGCACTGCCATGTACATGTAAGTCTCCCCAAACACCACTGCTGCTGCAGCGGCCGCTGATACCTCTTTGCTCCCCGTTGCTGCTGCTGCTGCTGCTGCTGCTGCTGCTGCTGCTGCTGCTGAGGGTGTCCGAGCATCTGCGTTTGCTGCTGCCCCCGCCCTCGCCGCTCCGCGGCAGCAGCAGCAAACAGTGTGCTGCTGCAGCTGTTGCTGCAGTTGCTGTTGGACAGCTGTTTGCTGCCGAGTCGGCTAGCGTGCCGCTGCTGCTGCGCAGCGACCCGCCGCTGCTGCGCCCTGCTGCTGCTGCTGCACCGTGCTGCTGCTGCTGCTGCTGCTGCTGCTGCTGCGGGTCGCAGGGCTCCGGAGCTTTTCTGCGAAAGCTCCACGGGTTTCGAAAGCGACATTTGGTCTGCTGGAATTGTTCTTTGTTTGCTGCTGTCGGGTTCTTCTCCCTTTGAAGGCAGCAGCATTTTGAGCACCCTGAGCCCCCGCCGCCCCGCTGCGAGCAGCAGCAGCAGCAGCAGCAGCAGCAGCAGCAGCGGGGGCCTCCGCAGCAGCCCCTGCGGGGGGGCCCCCTTCGGGGGCCCCCAGCAGCAAAGCGAGCCCCAGGGGCAGCAAGCCGACTCCGTCAACCGCAAGCGGAGGCCCCCCCAGTTTCAGGAGGCGAGCAGCAGCAGCGTGCCTCCTGCTGCTGCTGCTGCTGCTGCTGGTGCTGCTGCTGGGGGGGACGGGGCGGGCGCGGGGGGGCCCCCGGGGGGGCCCCCCGGGGCCGAGGCGGTGCGGGCGAGGCTGCAGGAGGCCCTGGGGGGCCCCCAGTGGGCCTCCGTTGCTGCAGCAGCAAAAGATCTCATTCAAGAAATGCTGAATGTTGACGCGCGGCTGCGCCCCTCAGCAGCAAAGATCTTGCAGAGTGCGTGGCTGCAGTCCGACTGACGCCCGCAGCAGCCCCGCGCGGTGTACGTACACCCCAGCGCTGCAGCAGCAACTCGGGTGTACGTACACCCCAGCGCTGCAGCAGCAACTCGGGTGTACGGACACCCCAGCGCTGCAGCAGCAACTCGGGTGTACGCGCAGCAGCAGCAACTCGGGTGTACGGACACCCCAGTGCTGCAGCAGCAACTCGGGTGTACCTGCAGCAGCAGCCACTCGGGTGTACGTACACCCCAGCCGCTGCAGCAGCAACTCGGGTGTACGGACACCGCAGCCGCTGCAGCAGCAACTCGGGTGTACGTGCAGCAGCAGGCGCTGCAGCAGCAACTCGGGGATGCGGACACCCCAGACGCAGCAGCGGGAACTGGGGTGTATGTACACTTCAAGCGCTGCAGCAGCAACTCAGGTGTACAGACACCTCAAGTGCTGCAGCAGCAACTCGGGTGTACGTACACCTCAAGCGCTGCAGCAGCAACTCGGGTGTACGTGCAGCGGGTGTGGGGGAGGGCGGGAGTTGGGGAGGAAAGAATGTGCAATTTGTGGATGTAAATATATATTTATAAATGCATTTAAATATATTTATATATTTTAAATGTATAAATATATTTATAAATGTTTATATAAATATATAACTCGAAACGCCCCAGCAAGACCCCCGCGGAGAGGCCGCCGCGGGCGTTTCTGTGTTGTGTTTGCGGAGAACAAAGTTGGAGTTTGAACACAGCCGTTTGGCCAACACGAACTGTGCGTGCTGCAGCAGCAGCAGCAGCAGCAGCAGCAGCGGCAGCAGCAGCAGCAGCAGCAGCAGCGGCAGCAGCAGCAGCAGCAGCGGCGAGAACGCCGGCGACTGCTGCTCCGTCGGGGCGCGCAGCTCCGCAAGCCGCGCCGCAGAGAAGCCGCAGCAGCACGCAGCCCCGCCGCCGCTGCTGCTGCTGCAGCAGCTGCTGCAGCAGCTGCTGCAGCGGCTGCTGCGGTTGCTGCTGCAGCTGCTGCTACTCCTGTGCAGCGCTTCAGCAGGAGAGGCCGCTGCCGCCCCTCCAAACAACAACCCCACCACTCGGAAGGCTTGCTGCTCCTGACCAGCTGCAGCAGCAGGAGGCCGCAGCAGCAAGCTGCAGCAGCAGGCTGCAGCAGCAGCAGGCTGCAGCAGCAGGAGCTGCTGCAGGTTTGCTGCTGCTTGAGGGTTTTGCTGCTGGTGTCTGTCGTGTCTGCGGCTTTTGCTGCTGGTTCTTTCTGCTTCTGTTTCCTTCCTTTTGCTGCCTCCCCACAGAAATGTAGTGCGCAGCAAGACCTGCGGGCTGCTGCAGCAGCTGCTGCAGCAGCTGCTGCAGCTGCTGCTGCAGCTGCCGGCTTGGGGCTCTCGGGCCTGCAGCTGCTGCTGCGGGGCCCCAGGCCCTCCCTCCCGAGGCTGCTGGTGCTGCAGCCTAGGCGCAAGCTGCTGCTGCTGCTGCTGCTGCTGCTGCGGCACCCGGCGCTTGCGCAGTCAGTGGGGCGCGGCGCGAGGTGTCTGTACACCTGAAAAGAAACACTCTTTAGAGTCTTCGCCCCTCCACTTCGTTTTCATTTTATGTAAAAGACATTTCTTGCTGCAGCCAACTAAGACTGCTGCTTCCTTACCAGTCATAATCTCCTGTTCTCCGCAGCTCCCTGCTTTGCTGCTGCGCTGCTGCTGCGCTGCTGCGTTGCTGCGTTACTGTGCTGCTGTTCTGCTCTGCTGCTGCGCTGCTCTGCTGCTGTGCCGCTCTGTAGCTGTGCTGCTCTGCTGCTGTGCTGCTGCGCTGCTTCTCCCTGCGGCTGCAGTGCTGCTGCAGCACAGCTTAGCCTTTCTTTGAGGCCTCAGTCAAAGGCTTTTTGCTGCTGCAACAGCAGCAGCAGCACTTCCCCTTTTCTCCCTCCATAAGCAGCAAAGTACAGAGGGCTTTGGAGCCTTTATTCTACACTTAGAGGCTGGGGGATAAGCAGCAGCAGCAGCAGCAGCAGCTAAACTCTGCTGCTGCTGGGCCAAGCTAAGCACTTAACTATGGCAATACTCTGAAGCAGCTTTATTTAGCTGCTGCGCTTTGTCTTCCGCTGAAAGCAGAATGTTCGCAGCAGCAGGAAACCAGCAAGCGCAGCTGGTTCGCTGCTGCTGCTGCTGCTGCTGCTGCTGCCAGCAGCAAAGGCATCGAACTAAAACATCGAACTAAATATCCTTTTTAAATCTCTTTTAATTCATCTCAAATTGAGGCAAATTTAAACGGGACTAGCGGGAAGCCGAGGCTCGACTTCGCCGCGCGCGGTCAAGCTGCTTTCTGTCTGTATTCAAGTTGGCGCTGCGCCTGCTGCTGGCGCCGCGCTAAAATTCGCGGAAAGAGGCTCTAAATGGATATTAATTGCATTTAAATTCCTAAATTGCAAATTAAAAAGAACAAACAACTGAAATTGGGAGTCTAGCGGCGCTGCCACGGCGGCTGGAGGCCCCCTGCTGCGTGGCTGATTGTCGGCCGCGGCGGTGAGCGCGGACGATCGCCGGGCTCGCCTAGCTTGAAAACTGCCACAAATGCATTTCTTTGTTTAATTTTCGCATTTGAATTCAAAATTGGAACTCAAAAAGTCGATTAATATCGCGGAAGAAGGCAGATCGCGAGCGCCGCGCCCGCGTCCACCAGCGTCGATCGATGCCGCCTGCAGCAGCAGCAGCTGCAGCGACTTCTCCTCTTCCTCGCCACTGCCGCAGCCGAAATTCAATTTCTTTTTTCTTTTCTATTTAATAAAACAAACTCGAAGAGCCCTTCGCTCCGCTTGTCACTTTCCCGAGTCGGCCGCGGCGGACGCGGAACCGCCACTGCCGCCTGCGCTGCAGCACTCAACTGGGACTTCGTTTTTCACCATGTTTTTCTCCATTTTCAGGCGTATTGTTAGCCTTTTGGAGTTTATTTTGAGTTCTATTTCTCCTTTTAACTCAAAGGAAACTCATGATCTCCAAGATGTGCTGGGTTTTCCCGTTCCTGCATCGGTGAAGGCTCAGTTCAAGTACAAAAGCCAGTTCCGGTGCCTCATGCCTGCACAGGTGCGGCCGCCGCGAGTTTTTCGCTTATTTAAGCAATCAAATGCTTTTATTATTCATTAAAAACATTATTTTCTCCTTCTCTGCAGTTTGGCGGTCAAAAAGACCCTTTTCTCGCAGCTGCTGCTCTTGAATCGGCCCGCCGACGCTGTCACCCTGCTGCTGCTGCTGCTGCTGCTGCTGCTGCTGTGCTGCTTCTGCATGCAGGCTATAGCGCTGGTCGGGGGCATTTTGCTGCTGCTTTATCTCATGAGTCGTCTCGTGCGCAAGGTTTCCTTCGAGATGTACTTCAGAACCTTTTTCCGAGAAGCCGCTTCTTTGATGCAGGTAACAAGCAGCTCAGCAGCAGCAGCAGCAGCAGCAGCAGCAGCTGCAGCAGCTGCTGCTGCTGCCTCCACCCGCAGCCACCTTTCAAAGAGGCGTTTCAGCTCAGGCCCTCTGCTGCTGCTGCTGCTGCCGCCTCTTCCCTGCCGCCTCCGCGCTGCTTCCGCTGCTGCTGCCGCCGCCGCTGCTGCTGCTGCTGCTGCTGCTGCTGCTGCTGCTGCTGCGGGCACTGAGCCGCAGCAGCTGCAGTGTGTGTGTGGGGCCCCAGAATCCCGGGGGAGTGCAGCAGCTGCGCTGGAAGGCCCTGGCCTTTTTCGGAAGCTGGAAAGACTTTGCTGCTGCGCGGCACACAGCCCAAGTTCTGGGGCTTATTTTGGCTGCTGGGGGCCGCGACGCGAAGCATGTGAGCAGCAGCAGCAGCAGCAGCAGCAGCAGCAGCAGCAGCAGCAGCAGCAGCAGCAGCAGCAGCAGGGCTGTTCTAGAATTGCTGCTTAGTTACTTCTTCTTCTTGGTTTCTTTGGTGACGGGCCATTTATTATTTATTTATTATTTATTATTTATTATTTATTATTTATTATTTATTATTTATTATTTATTATAATTGATTTATTTTATTTTATTTATTTATTTTATTATTTTATTTTATTTCTCTTTTTGAATTTGTTTTTATTTCTCGAGTTTTTGATTTTTCGTTTCTGCATTTTCGCACTTTCCCTCTTTTGCAAATTTTTATTTTTTGATTTATTTCTTCTTTCATTTATTTCTTTTTGATCTCCGATTAATTTAATTAATTTAATTTAATTAATTTAATTTAATTAATTTAATTAATTTAATTTAATTAAATTAAATTAATTTAATTAAATTAATTAAATTAAATTTATTTATTTTATTTGCTGCTGCGTCCAGGAGGCTTCCCGAATTGCGTCTGAGCTGGCAGCCGTTGAAGCCCCCTTAGATGCACATTTTGTGAAGCAGATCCACTGCAGGTAAATTTAAATTGCTGCTGCTGCTGCTGCTGCTGCTGTTGCTGCTGCTGCTGCTGTTGCTGCTGCTGCTGCTGTTGTTGCAGAATATCATAGAGCAGCAGCACTAGTGCAGATAAGAGCAGCTGTAGCGGTTTCCGAAGAGAAACTGCTGCTGCGAGCAGCAGCCGTAGGAGCAGCAGCAGCAGCAGCAGCAGCAGCTGCAGCAGCAGCAGCAGCAGCAGCAGGAGCAGCAGCAGCAGCAGCTGCAAGAATGCGAGTTGCTGCGCGTGGGTTTCGCAGGCGGAGCGCGCGAGCGCCGCCGCTGCAGAACAAGTGGACTGCTGCAGGTGCTGCTGCTGCTGCTGCTGCTGCTGCTGGGCGGGCGGAGGAAAACAGCCTCAAAAGCCGCTTTTTTCTCGTTCTTGCTGTTGCTTATTGGGAGACAGAAAGTTTCTGTCGAGCAGTTTTAAATGACCCCGCAAGTTGCTTGCTGGTGCTGGCAATATAGCAGCAGCGCGCAGCAGCAACCCAAGTGGAAACCGGCGCTTTTTCGAAAGCTTTTTCCTCCAAACGAACCATTTTTAAGTTTATTTGACGCATTTGCAAATTTATTTCTCCAAATTAAACCAAAAGTGTCCAAATGAAACCAAAAAGGCGGAAGCCGCTTTCCGAAAACGCAGGCGGCGCCGCCGAGGTGTACAGACACCTGAAACGCCATTCAGAAACGCGAACGCGCAGCGCCGCCTCAGTCACTTTTCTGCGTCAAAAGTTGGAAACTTTTCGCGAAATTAACTTCTGTTGTTCTTGAAGTTGTAATTAATTATTTATTTCTTTCAGTTTCCGCTCAAATGGCGATTTCGTGCTGCTTTCCGCCGCTGCGCGGCTGCAGC